GGAAACACTGATCTAAAACAATTAGCATAAAAGGAAGTTTTGACTGTGTGTGAAACAGATCATACACAGGTTAAATACAAGAAAAGCACAATATTAAAAAAACTTTAATGTTTCTTAAAAAATTAGAAAAGCTTGAGGAAAAAAATCTTGAGAACCTGAAGCCTTTTTTTTTATTGAGTAAAAGTGTCAGAAAATATCTGTAACAGATTTTAGAGAGGGTATTTTCCTCACCAGAGGTTGCTCCGCATTTGTCCTAAATTTTTTCCTAAAATTTATGTTCATAATGGAAAACGTCTCCAGCTGCATTCCATAGTTTCAAACAAAAGCAACATATAATGTGTCGGTGCTCAAAGTTTGTGTTGGGAATGATTCTTACCTTACCATATCAGCTCAATATCTGAAAATAGGACTGAATTTGAACAATTTTTGTATTTACCAACATGGCAGACACCAAGCAGCTCATTTTGAGACTTGTCTCTTTAAAAACAACCCCCCTCCAGCTTCTCAATCAGTCCAGTTTGATAGAGGGGTTTACGACTATATAGCTATGCAGAAATGTTTTACTCACAAATTAAATAAAATATGCCAACAAGGGAAGACTTGTCCGTCCAGCCTATGTTGGACCCCGAGTCTGACCCAGAAAAAGAGRAGGAGGACCACCAGATTGTAGTTGGGAAGTCCAGACCTCATCACAACGAACAGTTCAGAAAACATATGAATGCAGAATGGGTTAAAGCAGTGGTTCCCAAACTTTTCAGCTTTTGACTCACAAAATACCAGCAGCAGAGACCCGTACCCCCAGCTGTTGTTGGTTGATAAACATTGTTTTCACGTCAAAGAAACAAGAGCATAGTAACATTATTTATTATGCTATTTTTGTCCATTTAAGCGCACTAATCTTATTATTTTGTAACAACAAAGGCAAAAAAAATGTTGTTAGTCGTCATTTTTTAGTGTAATTAATTCAGAAAATATTTTCAGGACCCCACCTTGATGTTTCAGGACCCCACTGTGGGTCCCGACCCCAACTTTGGGAACCGCTGGTAGATATGCACACTGCATATGGAAAGAGAAAAATTAAACTTTTCTGCACTCCTAAAGACTCCAAGTACCCAMAAACAAAACTTTTAATGGCTGAAAAAGTGGATTTTGCACACGTCCACTTTAACACTGCCCCCCCTGACCCCTCCCTTAGTGGCGCACCTGCTTTCCACTCCCGCAAAGTTTAGTTTTCTGGAACAATAAAGTTAGAATAAAATAGGGGGAAAAAATACAACCAGCATTTAAAATGGGAGGAAGAAAATAAGAATGAAAAGCATAAAAAAGAAGAAGAGGGGAAAAAAAAGAGAAACTCCCTGCCCTGTGTATGTCCCCCACCCCCCTCTCTCCTCCGGGGGATGGTGTGGTCCAGGAAGCGCGCGCCTCTGCTCGCCTCTTCTCTCCTCCCCGGCTGAGGCGCATCAGCAGACTGAATGGTATCTCCCTCCTCTCCTCTCCTCTCCTCTCTCCCCCCGGATGGATCGCACCGCTCGACCGCCGCCAGCCCGAGCGCTGTAGCCGACGCCGGAGCAGCCTGGACCGGCTCCTGTTGGACGCCGCACCCGGACCCACCGTCAACTCGAAGGCTCTCCCTCTCTCTCTCTCTCGCCACTCGAACCGAGGAAGGCTGAACCCGCTTCGCACAGGAAGCCGCCCGCTCCCCCTTCCTTTCCCCCCCACCATGGCTTCCAACTTCAACGACATAGTGAAGCAGGGCTACGTGAGGATACGGAGTAAGAAACTGGGGGTGAGTACTGCTGCACCTGCTGTGTGGCGTGGAGGAGAACCAGGAGGAGGCGTTGACCTGTTTGCAGTGATAAAAACAAGGTTTTAATGCTTCTTCTGCAGTTATTAGTTATGAATGTTGTTAGTTGTTTTAAAGGAAAAAAAAAAACAAGTTTCTCTGATTGACACCTGTCCACTTTCTTTAACTTTGAACTTTTATTTTCTCTTGGAAAGTTTAATTTGTCTTCACAAAATCCATACATTTATTGCTATTGTTGAATAAAAACCTTGCAGACAGTGATACTGTACATAATAATAATAATAATAATAATAATAATAATAAT